TCCTTACTTTTTTCCTTTATACATAGATTAGTACTAATATACATATCATACATATATATGCTTATTTTTCCTTATTCTTGCTTTGCTATCTACTTGCCTAGTTATAATGTACATAAGTTGGAAGCTTGCTGTCCTGTATAGCCCTTATAGGTTATTATAGCGAGCTTGCATCTAATATTCAAGGTAATAGTTGAATGTAATTTAAAATTTCTAAAAGTGATGCAAATAAAACATTGTCATAAGCGGAAATACAGTTATAATGAAACAACCATAAGAACACTGCAGTGGCGGATCCAGGATTTTTCAAAGGGGGGTTCCGTTTCTTAAACTGAGTATAATTCTCATTTGTTTAGTCGATGTTTGACATAAAAATTGTCTCTAATCACCTAATTTACTATCTAGTAACGGACCAAGCTATAATAACACGACCCAGCGCTAAAGTACTAATATTTATTTTTTTTAATTTATATAAGACATATTTGTATTACCTAAAAGATCAAACCTTCAAGGGGGGTTCCGTGGACCCCTTCGACCCCCCTGGATCCGCCACTGCACTGGATACTGAATAATTAAGAATGGAAGCCTTTAAAAACTTTAACGAAAAGCAAGAATATCTAGTCAATCAAACCTGTCCATCATACACACACAGAAAATAAAACCTTGTAAGATGTCACCTCTAGCTTTTATTCATATACAAAGATAAGTGTGAACAGTGTAAGTCACTAACCATGTCAGTCAATGGTATTTCTATGCTATTATATAAATAAAGCATTTTTCTTCTGTAGGCAAAATCGTTGATCAAAATAAATATCTATCCTCATTCGTTCCCGGAAGTAAAATAATACATAGCTCAACAACGCCAAATAAACAGCCTACAATGTAGGTGGAGAATATTCTCTAATATAATATCGCATGATCGATATTCACACAAACAGATCTATCATGTTTTTGGTGTGTACCTCAAAACCATATATCCATTTGAATTGTAAGACAACTGTTTGTAATGTAAGCTTCAGACCTCAAGACAATCCTTTACTTACCATCCACATTCAGCTTTGTGTTTTTTACAGTACTGTCCGGGTCATCGTTGTACACAGTTATTCTGTAATACATCTCGTCAGTTTTCCTTGATAGATTACGAAGCGAGAAAGTAATATTAAGAACATTCAAGTTCGATTCAACGTCTAAGTCCATGTCAGCACCTCGTTCGGCCAGCAGTATCTCTACACCAGAGGGCTTTCTTCTTATCATATCGACGTCTCCTGCATCACCACCATCATTAAGGCCCCTTGCGATCTTCACTGCTATCCATGTTTTACCAGCACCAATACGAACACTCCAGTTGAGCTTTGCCGTGTCACCTTCCACAACATTCACTGTATCGTCCGAACGTAGCCAAGTGAATGATCCAGCATCTACAAGCAGCTTAGTATAGTGAGCTTACTCTTGATCGGTTATAAGTTGTTTTGTTTGTGTTGTCGTATTATTACTCCAAGAACAAAACTTATTTGCTTTCCTGAGGAATGGAAGAGCAATGCAAAATAGAAAACGTGTACCAGTGATTCCATACTTTACTGAAAGTAGATTCTTGAACGATTTTTACGTATTACATGTGCTTTCCGCAATAAATACATTTTATTTTCACCAAATAATTGCTGTCGTCTTTAGAAATGGTTCCGGGTCACTTAACGATATGTTAGAAGTTGGGCTACCTGTGTAATATTCTAGCCCGTGTCTAACGCATTATTATTACTGCACTGATACCCTTACTAGTTAAAATTAACACTTATCGTTCACAACTAGATATACGTCCTATATCTATTTTCGGCAAAGTATAATCGGAAGTGTAGATAAAATAAAGAAACTAAAAGAGCCACCGAATACCGAAGAACCAAGATATGTTTATTTATCGTAAAGCAAGTGCTGATCTAGTCAATCAAAACTATCCATCATGCACATACAGAAAATAAGACCTGTAAGATGTAACTTTGAACTTCTATTCATAACCACAGATCGTGATTTACAGTGTAACCCACTGAACCTGTGAGTTGATGATATTAATTTCTATACTACACCTTTTGCTGATCATTAACCGCAAAGGAATATTCATTGAAGTGAAGAAGCATTGTCATTAGAGCGAACAGGCATACAATAAGTCTCAATAGTGCGATGGAACGTTCATTAAGAAATTTAGCATTGAATTTGACAATCATGAATATGTTTGCGTGGGTTCATTAACGTTTTCAAACTTTCATTAGCGTTTTGGTGCAGTCAATGAACCACAACACACATTCAATACAGTGTTTTGGACATTTATTTACGCAATACAATATAAGTATATT